GATACGGGAACCCGCGGTACCCGGCGTTGCCATGGCAGCCGCCGGGGCCGGGATGCGGGCGGGTCGGGGCGAGGGGCGATGCCCCGGGGCAGCGGGGCGGGGTCGCGGCCGCTCCCGGTGGGAGCGGGCTGGGGCTCGGGACCGCACCCCGGGAGCGGGGCACGCACCCCCGAGCGGGCGCTGCCGGGCGGACCCCGAGCCCCCCGAGCCCCCCCAGCCCCCCGTTCCCTCCCCTCCTCCTTCCTCCCCAGCGGCCCCCCGAGGTCCCCGGCCGGCCGGACCCACCTGAGGCGGCCGGGCGGAGCCGGGCAGAGCCGGGCTGGCCCCGCGGCTCCGGGCGGCGCCGGGGGAGCGGAGCGGAGCGCGGAGCGGGCAGAGCCGCACAAAGCGGAGCGGGCGGGCGGGGCGGGGGCGGCGCTGCGGGGCGGGGGGCGCGGGCAGCGGCGGGGGCGCGGCCAGCACGGCCCGGCCCCCGGCGGCTCCCAGATCCCCCCAGAGGAAGGCACGGGGATGCTCAGGGGGATGGAGGCCCTCTGCTCCGGACAGCGCTGGGCGTGTGCAGCCTGCGGAGGAGACGCTCCAGGGAGAGCTCAGAGCCCCTTCAGCGCCTAAGGGGGCCCCGGGAGAGCTGGAGACGGACTTTGGACAAGGGATGGACTGGAGAGACAAGAGGGGATGGCTTCCACTGCGAGAGGACAGGGTTAAATGGGATACGGGTAAGAAATTCTTCCCTATGTGGGCGGTGAGGCTTTGGCACAGAGTGCCCAGAGAAGCTGTGGCTCCCGCGTCCCTGGAAGTATCCGAGGCCAAGTTGGATGGGGTTTGGAGCAAGCTGGAATAGTGGAACGTGTGTCAGGGATTTGGAACTTGATGGCCTTGAAGATCCCTTCCAACCCGAACCGTTCTGGGTTCTACAACATTCACGGTGCCTGCAGGGTGCAGGTGTGGAGGAGAAACCCTCACTTGGCTATGAAACATCCTTTCCACAGCACAGCAGGCCTGGACTCTGCCCTGAGCTGTGCTCCGGGTGTGGGGGGAGCCAGGAGCAGACTGGGAGCCCAGAAAACACACACAGATGAATTTCATCACAGCACAGAGGCCCTGCTGTCCTGCTGCCTCCTGAGAGCTGGGGAAGGGGCCGCCAGGCTGCCAGGCCAGGTGGCCCAGCTCACAGGGCTTCAGTCACGACACTCAGCCAATCTCAGGGTCCACCCGGGTCCGGGTGGGCAGCAGGGCCACCTCCAGCCTGGCCTGGCTCAGTTTCAGGCACAGCCAGGACCTGGTACCTGCATTGCCTGCCCTGAGCCCAGCAGCATCTGGCAGCTGCACAAAACCAGACCTGGAGTGGCCCAAGGCAGGCCAGGAAGCAGGGCAGGCTTCAGACAGCCAGGGCAAACGTGGTGTGACAGAAGGGCTGGACAAAAAGCCCTGTGAGAAGCTCTGGAAGCCCTGTCACAGAGCTTTGTGGCAAGCCCCAGTTCTTCCCATCGCAAGCCAGGCGTGTTGGGAGGAGCGAGGTGGGCAGGGAGCTCCTTGCTCGGTGCAGGCTGTCAGATGGGAACAGCGTGCTGGTGGCACTGCCAGGCAGCAGCTGAGAGCCGTGGGCACCGCCCTGTCCCAGGCCAGGCTGGCACATCTCTGTCTGCCTGGCTGCTGCCCTGGAGAGCCATTTCTTCTTGGAAAAGCACCTCAGCAATGCTGTCAGCCCTGAGCTGGCTCATCCCCTGCTAACTCCAACGCAGCTGAGATAGAAATCAGGCAGTGACGGCGCCATTCCACAGCCATCTCCCTGCTTCCAGTAAAACATAAAAAGAAAATAAACCAGCACTGGCATTTCAAGGCAATTATTCAAAGGGTCAAGAGATACAGACACAGAGGAGCTGGAAAACATCAAGTGCCTCTAATGCATAAGGATAACAGGATAAGGCTTTTGGTTTCCCTGCCAAGAGTGAGGCAGGGATCAAGCTATTGTAATCAAGTTTTGGGCTTCTCTGACCTTATCTGCTTCTCAGCTGTCGTTGTCCACAGCACACAGTGAAAGATGCAGGTGTGACCATGCCCTGGGGGCTGCAACGAGCACGCTGGGGCTCTGCAGAGCCCTAAGCACAGACGCCCCATGCAGCAGCAGCCAGGACACAGCTGGATCTGCGCTCCCTCCCTTGGATCTTTATTTACAAATTCCCAAGGAGCTGCCCAGAGTGAGTAGAATAATAATAAAAAAAATCATCAGCAATTTTATTTTCCTGTACAAACTCAGGAAAACTAGAGATCCCAATGTGAAAGTGGGAAGGGAAGAGGAAAAGCAGCTCCAGCAGTCGCTCATGGTAAACATCTGCTCCCCAGAGCTGGGCTGCTGGAGAGGCTGTGCCGAGCTCCAGCTTCTCTCCTGGAGAAACTGGGCCAAAAGTGATGCAGAGGCCAGGCAGGAGATGCTGATTTATGTTAACAAGGGGGCTGGGCTGGTCTCCTCGGCTGTCTGAGAGAACAGGAACACTGCCACTAGCTCCAGCAGAGCCTGGGGCAGGGACAGAGCCCCTTGCTCTCCAGAACTTTCCCCTCCAGTTTTAAGATCTCTCCCATAACGCCAAGCTTGGAAATTTCCTGTTCAGTGGCAACGCCGCCCTTGGTCCCGTCGGGGACGCGGGAGAGCGGAGCAGTGACAAAGCTGTGTGCAGCCATAGGCTGTGTTTACCCCAATAACAGCATTTCCAGCAGGCCTGGTGGCTCCTCGTGTCCCGAATCCCTGCAGGAGCGGGGACCCAGCACTGGCTGCTCTGAAGCTCCTGCACTGCTGAAGCCCCTTGGTGCCAAGTGAGGATGTTCCTGACCAGGGAAGGGAGCCAATCCCCAGCTAGAGGAAAAGCATTTTTGCAGAGAAACATCATCGCTGAAACCCCATAAACAAATGTGTTTGGACAGAACAAAGAGCTATAAAAGGAGAGATCGGGAAAACCGCGGCTAATGGGCGGTAATTCACGTGCTGCCCGCCAGGCTGTATTTTGGTAATTTGTGTCCCTTTGGGATGCTGGCCTATGATCTCCAGAGCTCAGAGGAACTTGGGAGCAGCCCAGGCAGATGTGGGGCGATGCTGGGCACCCCTTGGCTCGGAAGGTGCTCTGGAGCAGGACACTGAGCAAGCAAAGGGCTTTACAAGAGCCACAGGTGATGGCTTGGGCTGTCCCAGGAGCTCCTTGGGGCTGGGCTGGCACCCACCACAACTCTGCTCCCCCCAGGAGTGGAAGCAAAGCGGTGCCTAAGGCGTCTGCTTCATCTACACAGCCTTTGGGAACAGCACGACAGCCGTGGCCAGGCTTCACGGGAAAATAATCGCTCCTAATCTGCTTAGAAAACTTCATCCCTTGGGAGAACACAGCATACCTGCCTGTGGGCCTGGGGGGACACACTGCTGGATGGCAGGTTTAGAAGAAATCAATTCAATTTGTATTGGGGGCTGACTTGGCGCTTCCCAAAAGGCACCGACTCCCTCCCTTTGTCTGAGTTCAGCTCACCCAGCACTGCCCAGACCCGCAGAGGGAAGCAAGGCCAGGAACTCCCAGCGGTGGGTGGGTGGCAGCCCCGGCCCCAGGGACAGGCAGGTGCTCCCTGCACACCCAGACCGGCCCAGACCTGCTGTCCCAAAATCCCAGCGCAAACCACAGCTGCCCATAGCCTTTCCCAGAGGAAGTGGTCAGTGCTGGGAACCCAGGGGATGTTCCCAGGACCTGAGCAACTCAAAACGTCCCTTTTCCCCCAGCCACGAGCAGCACCCAAAGGGCGATGGGCAGGAAGGGCCACTCCATCACAAGCCCCACGCGCTGCTCCCCAGGGATCCTTGGCACCTTGGCACGCTGCTGCTTCCTTTCCAGCCCATCCCAAAGAGCCACCTCCACGTGGGACACTACCAAAACATTTATTAGAAGAGTGCAGGGTGGCCAGGCTCCACAGAACCCCCCTGCAGCCTACCACAGGGCTGGGGAGGGGATCAGGGAGGCTCTGCTCACTCTGGGGATCTCCTGGTGTGCCCCAGCATCAAGCAGGAGATGAAGGCACTTGTTCCCTCGAGGGAAATGTCCCTGCTGGGCAGGGAGGACAGGCTGGCTGTGCCATCCCTGCGGGCAGGAGGCAGCACCCGGGCACCGCAGAGCTGCCAGCAGGGAGATGCAGGGCTGGCTCACGCTGGGCACTGCCCGCGAGGCTGATTGCTCTGAGCCACGCTCCAGCGTGGCCTTTGGCTGCCGCTGGTGCTGTCACAGCTGCCACAGCCACCCCCGGGGCACAGACCGCCCCACGCCGCCGCCAAACCCTCCCGGAGCAGCCCTGGGAGGGAGCGGCGGCTCAGACCGGAGCCACGGCATGGGAAAACAAACCAACGGGCATTTCTCTCGCAGGCAGGGACGTCTCGCAAAAGGCACTTCCTAAATCCCTGCGCAAACACGCGAGCGGCGCCCGCCCCTCCCAGAGGGAGGAAAATCTGCAGCTCGGGGCTCCCCTTGGCAGCAGAGCCGCCAGCGTGGCCCCGGAGGTGTGGCAGTGTGGACACAGCGGCCACATCCTGCACCCTAGGGTGGCACAGCTGTGACCTGCCTAAAAGAGACAGTTCCCACTCCACGGGCGCTGCTGGCAGCCCCTCGCCCGCTGAGTGTGCCACGGCCCTGCCAGGAAGCACTCGCACACCCTGTCCAGACAGGTCTATTTACAGGAGAGCCACAGACACGGGGCAAGGAGGTGTCCCCCAGCCAGCACGGCCAGCCGCTGGCATGGGCTGTGTCCCCCCGGGCTGGGCTGGTGCTGTGCCCACCATGCCACCCCTGGCACCAGCTGAGGGCAGGGTCACTTTGCAGGTGCTGTTTCCAGAGTTCGGGGGCAGCCACGGGTCCCTGGCTGCACGGACAGTCCAGAGAGGTGGGGACTTGCTGGTGGCATCGTGCCCTGGCAGCGGCTTGGGGCAGTGGCCCGTGCCAGGCGGAGAGGCACAGCTCAGGCGAGTGTCCATCCTGCCCTTAGTCGTTCTCGCTCTGCCAGGGACAGAGAGAGGAGCGGGGTGAGGTGCCAGGGGCTGGGCTGGGGTACAGCCCTCTGCAGGGCCGCCCTGCCCAGGCACAGCCCTGCCACCTCACCTCCATTTTGCTGTATATCCAGCTGAGGAGCTTTGTCACACGTGTGTACACTCCGGGCTTGTTCTTCTGGCCACATCCTGTCCCCCAGCTCGTCACCCCGGCCACGTACCAGCGGCCATCGTCCTCGCACACCAGGGGCCCTCCGCTGTCACCCTGGCTCAGAGGGGCAGAGCAGTGAGGAGGGGACACAGGAAACCCTCTGTGGGTACCCAAAATGGGAGATGCCCCTCTATGGGCACCCAAAATGGGGCAGCTGTGCCCTGGTGTGGAGATGTCCCTCTGTGGGCACCCAAAATGGGAGATGCCCCTCTATGGGTTCCCAAAATGGGGCAGCTCTGCCCTGGTGTGGAGACACTCCTCTGTGGGTACCCAAAATAGGAGATGCCCCTCTGTGGGTACCAAAAATGGGAGATGCCCCTCTATGGGCACCCAAAATGGGGCAGCTGTGCCCTGGTGTGGAGACACTCCTCTGTGGGTACCCAAAATAGGAGATGCCCCTCTGTGGGTACCAAAAATGGGAGATGCTCCTCTGTGGGCACCCAAAATGGGGCAGCTCTGCCCTGGGGTGGAGATGTCCCTCTGTGGGCACCCAAAATAGGAGATGCCCCTCTGTGGGTACCAAAAATGGGAGATGCTCCTCTGTGGGTTCCCAAAATGGAGCAGCTCTGCCCTGGTGTGGAGACACCCCTCTGTGGGCACCCAAAATGGGAGACACCCCTCCGTGGGTACCCAAAACGGGCAGCTCTGCCCTGGGGTGCCCCCAGCTCACCTGGCAGGCGTCCTTCCCTCCCTGCAGGTAGCCGGCGCACATCATGCGGGGGGTCAGGTAGCCCTCGTACACCTTGTCGCTGTTGCAGATCTTGTAGTCGATCAGCTTTACCTCGGCCTCCCGCAGCTTCGGGGACGTGTTATCTGCAAGGCAGGAAGAGCTGTGGGGCAGGGGGGGCCTCGTCACCCCCCACCGCCCCCGGCCCCTCACCGGCGAGGGAGGAAGCGGCTGCTTCCCACGGCTTTCTGCAAAGCCTCGCAGCCGGCAGGGCAATCCCGGGAGTTATCCCTGCGGAAAGCCCTCGAGGGTCCCAGCAGGGCTGCGCTCGGGGCAGGAGCTGCCCGCGGGGAGCCGCGGTCCTCCCTCACCTTCATTCTCCCTGGTCTTCCCGAAGCCGGTGATGAAGCAGGACCGGCCGGTCTGGAAGCGCTGGCCGTACATGGGCAGGCAGGCGGGGCGCACCTGGGCTGGAGGAGGGGATGGCAGCGAGGGGTGAGTCACCGGGACACGAACCGGCACGGCCCCGCAGCCAGGGAGGAGCGTGGGGCGCAGGAAAGGCTCCCCTCTCTGCCCACCCCACCCGCGTGGGGCTGGGGGCACAGCGGAGCCCGCGGCTGCCAGACCCTTCCTGGCCACGGCAGAGCTGGGTGCTCCAGCTGGCAGAGCCCCACCACCCCATGGCTCCCAGGGCACACCTCTTGTCTTGTGCATCTCCCCAAACATCACCCAGCACCCAGCCAAGCCCAGGTAGGCTGGGAGCCCTCACCTGAGAGCGTCAGCGGCCTGGAGAGCCTCATCAGGGCGATGTCGTAGTCGTCGTGGTCGTCGCTGTAGTTGGAGTTGATGATGACCTGGGTCACGGGGATGCCCTCCATGGGCTGCTTCAGGTCTGACACCCCTCCGTAGACCTTCCAGTCGTCCAGGATCTTCATGCTGTTCCTGGCAGGGCGAGATGGGGCAGCAGGGAGTGAGAGCCGGGCTGCGGGGCCGGGCTGGAGCCCGGGCTGGCGGCAGCACTCACATGAAGAAGCAGTGGGCAGCGGTGAGCACCCACTGAGCGTCGATGATGGTGCCGCCGCAGATGTGGATGGGCCCGTACTGCACGCTGACCTGCCAGGGCCATTTGTTCACAGAGGTCTCCTTCCCACCGATGATCCGGCCGGAAATCCTCTGCCCGCAGGCTGGAGGGGACAGCAGGGCTGGGAGAAACGCTCGGGGAAAGGGGAGCACCGAGGGGGACACACACAGCACCCCCACCACCCACAGGAACCACGCTTATTGCAGGGAATGCACTGCTGGTGGTTTTCTATCACCCAGAGAATTTGCTGGAAGACGGAAAAAATGGAAGACGTGCCATTTTCCCAGCCCTGGGCTGAGAAGGGGGGAAAGTGCTCCCAAGGCTGTGAAAAGGGGACCCACCCTCGGCTGTGTCCTAGCCAGCTCCTTACTTGTGCATCGCAGGGAGACGTACTTTCCCGTGAGACACTGGGAGCTGCGGGAGAGAGGAGCCAGAGCCTCAGCCCCGTTCCTGTGGCACCAGGCACGGGGGCAGAGGTGACCCTGGTACCTGTTGAGGCTCTGCTGGATGGTCTCTCGCTCACCAGTCACCGTGAGGCTCTTGCCAGAGACGTGCAGGGGGATGTACTCGGTCTGGGACGCACTGGGAGGGGAGAGGACAGGCGCTGAGGGTCCCCCCAGCCGGGCGTGACCACCTTGTCCCTGCTCTGTGCCCAGAGCAGCGCTGGACACGCCGCCTTCCAGGGGGAAAACAGCCCAGCAGACCCTGCCCTCAGAGCAGGGGCTTGGCAGGGCCCCAGCAGCCGAGCAGAACCCCCCGTCCTGCAGGAATTACTTCTGGAATCCCAGCTGCCGGCAGGTTTTCCTGGAGAAGGACTCGTCCCAGTCGCTGCTGCACACCGGCAGCCACTGGCTCTCGGTGCTGGAGTAGACGTGGAGCAAGGACTCCTCGGATGAGAAGCGCACTGTGGGATGGAGCAGGGGGTTCAGGGGTGCTCCCGGGGCTCCCCTCGTTCCCACGGTCCCAGCTCCCGTGCCTCACCGCAGCCCAGCTCGTCGCTCCTCTGGGAGCAGTCGACGACGCCGTCGCAGCGCACGGCGCTGTCCTTGCAGCTCTCGGCTGGCTCCTTGTACACGATGCCCGTCTGCGACCTCCAGAACATGACTGGAAGCGGGAGGACACCACGCTGAGGCCAGGGCTGGCCACGGGTGAAGGGCTGTGCCCCGCTTGGGTGGGCATCTGGAGGCGTGCCAGGCACAGGAGCGTTCCCCATCACTGGGTGTGAGCGTGAGGTGTGTTTGAGCGAGAGTGAGGAGCTGCTGGACGCAGGGCTGGGGGAAGACTGGCCACCCTGAGCACCCCCTGTGCTGCCCCTCTGCTGCACGCCCCCCTCCCTTCACCCGCAGGAAAAGCGTTCAGCCTGTGAGTGCTCCAAGCCCACGGGCTGGAGAGCGCAGCTGGATGCCAGCAGGACTGAAGGGACCCCCCGGTGCCTGTTCTGCCTACGGACCATGATTTGTCCTGGGGAGGGCAATGTGGGTGCTGCTGGGTGCCCTGCTGCCCACCAGAGCAAGCCCAGCAGAAGGAAAGCTCACTGCAGCCCCAGTTCCCCAAACACTGGCACCAGCCCAGGCAGCAGATCTCCTTTGCTCTTTTCCCAGCTCAGCTTCTCCACCAGGCGTCAGGAGCACTCAGGGAACGGGAAGAGCACATCCCTGTCTCTGGGCCAGGCCTTTTCCTCTGGCAATTCCCAGTGTGGATATCCCCAGACTCTGCTGACTCCCAGCTCCTCTGAGACCCCCTCCAGGAGCCTGGAGCCCCCCCGGGCTGGGACCCCACTCACACAGCAGGATGAGGGCGACGAGCAGCACGATGAGGACGGAGACGCAGAAGACGAGCGCGAGCCGCCGCTGGCTCATGCAGGGAGCTCTGAACATGGAGGATCCTGGCAGCAGGGCACAGGCAGGCTCAGGGGGCAGCTGCCTCCTCGGGACCCACCTCTGGGCTGTGGGAGAGCAGGGCCGTGCACACCCCAGCCTGCCCTGTGGTCTGTGCTCTCCCTTGCCCCCCACACCCCTCACGCCCCAGGGAATCTCCAGCCCGTGGCTCCCTGTGACCTCCCTCCATCCCTCCCCACGCCGGGAGGGAGCAGGGCCGTGGCTCAGCCCCAGCCCATCCTTACGTGTGCTCTCGCAGGCCGAGCAGGGGCTCGGGGCCGGGCCGGACTCGGGGCTGTAGGGTTTGAAGCTGATGCCCAGGACGTTCTCTCGAGGCTGCGGAGGTCGAGCACCGAAGATGCTGCCGACCGTGGAGGCATGGAGGAGGCTGGGAGAGACACTGCTGGGCGAGGCAGTGGTCTGTGGGCAGAGGGGACTGTCACCAGCGGTGACTGCTGCCCACCAGAGTCACCCAGCTGCCACCCTGCCAGCCGTGAAGGTGAAAGCAACACAGAGATCTGGCACCACAACGAGCCTGTTCCTCACGGAAACATGAGCCTCACGGAGAATCACACCTCAGTGCCTCTGTCTGCACCAGAACCTGAGCCACAGCCCACCCAGGATGGCCAAAACCCTCATTGTCACCGGGTTTTCCCCTTCAGGCAGCTGAACTTCCCAGAGCCATCACGGTGAGCCGAGCAATCAGCCGGGTATTTGGCATCGTGACAGTCAAGCCGTGGCCCAGTTCCACGGGGCCAGTGCCCCAATTTATGCATCCATCCTTAATTAGCCATTTGAAAAATACAGTGCAATTTCCAGCTGTCATTTAGTAATACTTAATAATCGGTGTTTTCCAAGCCCTGAAACGTCCTGCACCCTGGAATGCTGCTCTGCAGTTGTGTCACTCCTGATCCATGAATTCACAAAAGAATATGTATCTGTTTCCTTTCCTCAAAATACACTCTTCCTTTGGTGACAGAAGCCAGAGCCTCTCATTTTTCTCCAGAGAGGGCCTGCGAACAAATCCCAAAATAAATGCTGCTTCCTCTACCTTTTGTAGGATGGATGGGGCTTGGAGCAACCTGGTCCAGTGGGAGGTGTCCCTGCCCATGGAATGGAGCTGGAGCTGGGTGAGCCTTCAGTCCCTTTCCATCCAAACCATTCTGGGCAATGAGAACTTCTGAAGGGGAGCCCACGAAGTGGAGCCACCACCCTGCAGGGACCACTTATCACCCAGAGATGGGCTCCAGCACATCCCTCTGGGAGCCTGTGTCTGCTTTTTGGCTCTGCACTGCTGGAGATCACCTTTCTCCATCAGCAGGAACCATCCCTCTCCCTGCTGGGCCAGCGAGGAGCGCTGGGGCTGGAGCACGGCTCTGGGGCAGGACGGGGACACGGGGACACCGGGGGAGCCTCCCTCGCCCTTCCAGCTGCCTTTTCTCCCACTCGTGTTTCCTGCCGGGAGCCCCGAGGAGCAGCAGTGAGGCTGCTGGAGCTCTGTGAACGTGGCTGTGCCTCCCTGGCCGTGCACTGCTGGAACTTCCTGGGCACTACCTGTGAGTCACGGCCCGGCGTGGCCAGTGTCCTGCACGGGGTGCGAGCCCAGCTGCACACCGGGCACACCTGAGCTGCACCGGGGCACACCTGAGCTGTACCGGGGCACACCTGAGCTGCCCTGCACACCAGGGCACACCTGAGCTGCACCGGGGCACACCTGAGCTGCACCAGGGCACACCTGAGCTGTACCGGGGCACACCTGAGCTGCCCTGAACACCAGGGACACACCTGAGCTGCACCAGGGCACACCTGAGCTGCACTGGGGCACACCTGAGCTGTACCGGGGCACACTTGAGCTGCACCAGGGCACACCTGAGCTGCACTGGGGAGACACCTGAGCTGCCCTGAACATCAGGGACACACCTGAGCTGTACCGGGGCACACCTGAGCTGCCCTGCACACCAGGGACACACCTGAGCTGCACCAGGGCACACCTGAGCTGCACTGGGGCACACCTGAGCTGCACCGGGGCACACTTGAGCTGCACCGGGGCACACCTGAGCTGCACCGGGGCACACCTGAGCTGCACCAGGGCACACCTGAGCTGCACTGGGGAGACACCTGAGCTGCCCTGCACACCAGGGACAGACCTGAGCTGCACTGGGGCACATATGAACTGTCCTGCACTGGGAACACAGCTGAGCTGCACTGGGGACACACCTGCCCTGCACCAGGGACACACCTGTCCTGCACACTGGGAACACACCTGAGCTGCCCTGTACATTGGGAACACACCTGCCCTGCACCAGGGACACACCTGGCCTGTACTGGGAACACACCTGCCCTGTACACTGGGAACACACCTGTCCTGTACACTGGGAACACACCTGCCCTGCTCGGGCTGGCCGCAGAGCCAGTGATCACAGCACCCTGGGCTCCGGGCCTCCCGCCCTGGCCAGCAGCGCCGTGTGCGGGGCCACCCCCGGCACAAAGCTCCTCCCAGCCCCCGGGCCCCTGGCACAGGCACCGCTGGTGGCCCCCGGCCATGGGGAGCCACCTCCCCACCCGTGTGGAGCTCCCCGGGCTCCTGCGCACGGGGAGGAGCCCAGAGAGGCACTTTCTGTTTCTCTGCATCAGCCCCACTCAGCCCTTCCCCACCTGACAGCAGAACAAGCCGGGATCTCCTCCAGGTTTCCCAGATTTCCTGGCACTGCTGCAGCCTTGCCTTCTCCCAAGGGTGCCAGGGAGCCCAGGAGAGCCCCTCAGCTTCCTCCCCTCAGCTGGGAGGGCTGGAGGGTGCCCTGCAGTGCCCTGCTGGAATGAGCCTGAGCAGTCACAGCACTGATGGGATTTCAGCTCTCACACACCCGAATCGTGGGGCATCTCTGGGTACCCTCAGTGCCCGCTGCGGGTGGCACCCAGAGCTCTGGCAGGTCCTGAGCAAAGCAGCGTGGGGATGCCAGGATGCCAGGAATGCTTCCTGGGAAAATAACTCCTGCCTGCGCTGAAGTGAGGGTTCTGTAAATCCCCTTTCCCCCTGGCATTTGTGTGCTCTCTCCACGTCTGATGTATCACATCTCACCCTGCAGCAGCTGTAACCCTTTGCTTATCAGACCAGCAGCACTGCAATCCTCCGAGGGAGAAACCTCTCCCTCACACACAGAGAACACAGCCCAGCTTCCCCAGGGAGCCAGCAGTGCTGGATGCCACAGCACTCCCACCCCAGTGTGCAAATATTCCAAATTAACACCGAAATGTGCCATGGGTCACGCTGCTCTGAGCGCTCCTCAGCAGGAAGCACATACCCTTTCTTACACTCAGGTGAACTTTCAGCTGCTTATTTCCTTCAAAGTCTTAAGTCTAAATAATTCTGTGGGCTGCCAGAAAAGGTAGCAGAGGTGCTACCATGGGTGAGCAGTGCAGGGCAGGAGCAGCAGAGAAAACAGCGGTGGTTTCGCAGAGATGTTTCTGCTGGGAGAGCGCGTGACCCCGGTGAGCGAGCGATGCCTCCTGCCCACAAAACCTTTACTCATCCTTCGCTGGCTTTTGAGTAAAAGTCAGAGGCAGAGCCGAGCCCGGATCACACGCGCCGCTGTGGTTTGAGCCCTTTCCCCCACGGCCTCTCTGCAATGCTCCAGCAGCCACAGGAGCGATCCCTGCCAGCCGTGGGGAGGGGGCACAGCCAGCCCCTGTCTGTGGCACACAGGGCAGCCAGGAGGGACCCTGGGGACACTCAGGGACTCCTGGCCAGCTTTGCTCACCTTGAGCACAGTGGATGCTGCCTGTCTGCAACAGCAGCCCTCTGCTAAAGCTGCCAGGGGTGCGAACAGCACCTCACAGCCTGTCCCTGCTGCGAGGCTCGGAGCAGAGCTGGGCAAGCAGCAAGGTGCAGCAGCGAGGTGCCCGTCCCCTTTGCGCCGTGAGCTGCTGCGTGCACTGACCTGCAGCTCCCTGCCCTGACGTGGGGAGAAGGCCCCCAAACCCACGGCAGCCAGGAAAATCACCAGGGGAAAGGTGATCCAGGCTGGGCTGGAGGCTCAGCCAGCAGGCAGCCGCAGTTTCGGAGTGGGAGGGAAAGCGGAAGCCGGGGAACACCTGGGTGTTGCAACCAGAGCCGGGGCTCAGCCACGTCTTGGAGGAGCAGAGGGACACAGAGCTCCCAGAAATCCGGAGCATCAAGAGGGGAGAGGGGAGAGAGGGCTTAAAGAAGCTGGGAGGAGCTGCCTCAGATCCTTCTTCCCACCCTCAGCACAGCTCCAGCTGCTTGCTGCGCTGTGTCCAGTCGGGGAACTCCTTCACCTGGCTGTGAAGCAGCGATTGTCTGCCCAGAGCAGCTCAGCCAGCACACAACGGAGGCATTGTCCTTGCCAGGGACAGATGTCCCCAGCCTGAGAGAGCCCCATGTCCCTCTGGGTGACAACGGCTGAGTGGGGCCTACCTGGGAGGGGACAAAGCCCAGCGCCAGAGCAGGACGAGAGGACACTGCCAAGCCCCCGATCCACACAGCAAAGTGGAACCCCAAAGCCAGCCCAGTGTCCCTTTGCAAGAGCAGGGGACTGTCGACTGAGCCAGCCCAGTGTGGCCAGGGACGGCTCATCCTGTGCCAGTGTGGGCACCCTTTGGGCACAGACCCGAAATGTTCCAGGGGCTGAGGAAGCACCGCTCGCCTCACCCCACAGAGGGGCAAACAGAGACCTGGAAAGACAAAGCGACGCTGCTGCCATTGCAGAGCCAAGGGTGGCTCCTGGCACTCCTGATGGCCCATTTAACCCCAGTGACAAAGCCAAGGTGGCCCAGTGGGGTTGTCCAGTATTGGGCAACTGCCTCTGCATGTGGCCATCCCAGTTCCTGCCCCACTGTCACCACGATGCGGTGATGCCACCCTGCTTTGGGGCCACCCAGAGCTGGGACCCTCAGAGCCAGCCAACACCAGCACGAGCCCACTGTGCCCTGCTCGTGGCTGGCACCCCCAAAGGGGCAGGAAGAGGATGGTATCAGAGCTGGCTCTGCCTCCCCTGGAGCCCCATCCACGCCATCACCGCCGCCTTTGTTCCGGATGTCGCTGGCACAGCCGGCGCTGCTCAGCTCGGTAATTACTCCTGCCTCGCCCGGTGCCCGGCCGGGATGGATGTTTTCCTCATGACAGGATGCTCAGCAAAGCCCCACATCCAGGGCTGAGCAGATCCCAGTCAGCCCAGCCCAAAAAGGCACAGGGAAAATGCCCGGAGAGCAGGCGAGGGGAGCAGCAGGGCTGTGCCCACCGGCGCAGCGCTGCCGGAAAGTGCCGGAGGGCTCAGGAGCGTGCCAAGCGGCACCAGATCCCTCTGGCAGCATCAAGTTGTCCCCTCAGGTCACAGCTCCAGCGTGGCAAAGCACCCGGGAGCCTCGACAACGCTGCCGGCACAGGGCAGGCACCAGGGATGCTGCTGGCTGCCCTCCCTCCGGTGCCAAGGGGTGCCAGAGGCGGCAGCTCCTCAGGCAGCTCCTCCGGCTCCTGTGCTCTGAAGGGACACCCCGGAGAGCAGGAGGGAGAGCCCGGTGCCTCCACCAAAGCCCGAGGGGAGCCGCCCGCACTTACCGGGGAGGTTTTGCCGTCCATGGGCCGGGGTCGCGGCTGGGCTGGGCTCAGAGCTGCGGCACGGCCATGGCAGCAGCGCGGTGCCGAGCGGGGCCGGCTGCGGGGCCGGGGCTGGAGCTGTTTGGCACTCGTACGTCAGTGCCAGCGCCGGCAGCAAACCTGTCCGACCTGCCCGGCCCCGGCGCCGCCGGTTTCCCAACGCTGCGGGCGCAGCTCCGACACCTGCGCGCTGCGGCCGGCCGGGATGCGGGGCAGGGCCGGTGGGGATGCGGGGCAGGACCGGCCGGGATGTGGGGCAGGACCGGCCGGGATGCGGGGCAGGGCCGGCCGGGATGCGGGGCAGGGCCGGTGGGGATGTGGGGCAGGACCGGTGGGGATGTGGGGCAGGGCCGGCCGGGATGCGGGGCAGGACCGGCCGGGATGTGGGGCAGGACCGGTGGGGATGCGGGGCAGGGCCGGCCGGGATGCGGGGCAGGACCGGTGGGGATGCGGGGCAGGGCCGGCCGGGATGCGGGGCAGGGCTGGCCGGGATGCGGGGCAGGGCCGGCCGGGATGCGGGGCAGGGCCGGCCGGGATGCGGGGCAGGGCCGGTGGGGATGCGGGGCAGGACCGGTGGGGATGCGGGGCAGGACCGGCCGGGATGCGGGGCAGGGCCGGCCGGGATGCGGGGCAGGGCCGGCGGGGGTGCGGGGCAGGACCGGTGGGGAGCCCCGGCCCAGGAACGACAGCATCCCGCGGCTCCCGCTGCTCTCCTGGCTGCCTGCCCACCCGAGCCCCCCTTCCTGCCCTCTGTGCCCCCGCAGCTCTTCTGCCCAGCCCAGCGCAGGGGAGGGGAGGCACAGCCGTGCCCAGCCAGGAGAAGCTCGCTGCTGGCACCCAGAAGTCAAGAATTCCCTGTTCCAAAGGAAATGAAATGCCGTTTCCCTCTGGTTTCTCTAGAGGCCTTTTAATTCCTTTAATTCCTTTGATGATTTCCCTGCAGGCACAGCCTGGGGGATGCTCTGCTTGACCAAGAACTCAGGTGAAACAGGTGGAAATTCCGTGATTAAAGGAGAAATCTGGCTTCATCCTGTGCTTTCTTTCCAGACCCATGACCCTCGGTGCCACAGGTTTCTCGTTGCATTATTCTTAGTGTAAGTCCCTCGTTCATCCAGCTCCCCACCCCGCCCTGCTCATCAGAAGGGCAGGAGACAAGCGGGGACATCCAGGCTCGGAGGAGCCCTGCTGCAAAGCCCCTTCCTTCTGAGGCTGGAAAGTTTGGGCTGGATCCCTCTGATCCTGCTCTCAGCTCCCAGAGGGGTTCTGAGCCAGCCCTCACTCCTCATCCTCTGTAGTTTTCACAGGCAGGAGTGGCTTTTGGGGTTTTGTTCCATTGTTTTTTGTGCCTCTGCAGGCTGTGCCTGCTCAGTGCCAGGGGTGGCCAAGCGCTGAGCTGCTCCCTCAGGCAGCCCTGAGCCAGCCCTGCCCTCTTAAGCTGCTGTGTCCACCCCAGAAAGGGGTTCTCAGAAAACAGCTCCAGGAATCGTTCACTGCTTGCTACAAAGCCACCTACAGAGGGCAAGTTCCAGGGAACGGGGTGTGTGGCTTGGCGCCAGCAGCCTGATGGTAAATGTCAGCATGCACACAGCTCCCAGGTGAAATCCTCACCTTTCCTGCTAGCAACGCTGCTGGGAGCCCTCCCTGCAGCCTCCTGCCCTCCCAGCCATTAAAGAGGAGCTAAAACACACAGCCAGAGCCGGCTCCACAGGCCAGGAGAGCTGCTCCAGCCTCCAGGCTGGCGGCAGTGGGGATGAGGATCCCTGCGGCAGGGCTGTGCAGAACCAGCCCCCGGGCCCATCCCTGCCCTGCTCGGTGCAGCACCGCCTGCCTGGCCCTGGGAACAATTCCTGAGGGACAGCAGGGAGGGAAATGCACGGACCCGGGTGCTCCTGGGCTGGGCTCCTCTGCCGTGTGTCCACGGGAGGCATTTCAGGGTCAGCCACATCCTCTGTGTCCCCTCTCCTGTGGCACCTGGCCGTGCCCTCCCTGCAGAGCTCGGGCTCCACCCCGGGTCCCCCTCGCCATCCAAGCATTCTGCAGAACTCTCGTTCCTCCTCAGCCTCTTTCGCTTTCCTCTAAGCTGCCAAGAACTTCTCCCACTTCTCTGAAGCCGCAGGGCCAGCCCCGCGGCGGCTTTTCCACAGAACTTCCACTTTCCTGCCTTTTCCTGCTTTTAATTGTCGTTGCCTTACACAAAACACAATCTGTGGCTTTGTGTGGGACTGGCTGAGCTTCATCTCGGGACTCCTCAGCTCCGTGGCTGCCAGGTGTCACTCAGGGGCCAAGAGCAGAGTGGCAGGACATCAGCTGCTCTGCCCTGGATGGGGATAAAGCCAGGGCAGGGAGGGGATGTGCTGCTGGTGCTCCGGCCAGGCTGCGAGTTTGTGGCAGCTCTTGGCCTTCATCAGGAAGCATAAGTCAGGGAAAACAGGAGAAATCTCCCACTTCAGGCCTTTAAGGTGGTTCTTCAATGAGGAGCCTGCATGTCTGTGCCCACCACGATGCTCTCTGAGTCTGTCCACACCACTTCTGGTTTCTCTTGCTCTTTTTGGCTGTGTTCTTTCCACTAATTCCCCAGTGGGAAATTCCTCTTTCTGAGGAAAATCACTCTCCATCACACGAGGGCCCCAGGAAAGCCCTCAAGCCAGCTCTGAGGCAAAGCAGAGCACTCACACTCAGTGGGCTAGGTGGTGATTCGGGTCCCAGCACCAGCAGACAGGCAGGGCACCCCCGTGGGCAGACCTACAGCCATGGGAACACAGATGTACCTGGGGACTACCCTGGGGACAGTGGCAGCCCCTGAGTGACACTGGATTTCCAGTGTCACCCCTGTGGGAGGCTGTTTGCAGGGCACAGGATAGCCCAGAGGGTCTCACTCGGCCCCAGAAATGGGAGAAGGGGGAATTGCAGGCTGAGGCAGGAGGCTGAGCCCAAAGGAAAGCCAGAACCCCCTCCTGGGGCTCCAGGGCTGGCAGAACCTGGCTGGATCCAGCTGCTGGCAGGACAGGGCATGGTGCTGTGCTCAGGAAAACCCCTGTGCCAGGTCACCCTCCTGTGCCAGGTCACTCTGGGTGCCAACACTCACCTGTGCCTCTGTGCCTTTCACATCTCATTTCACAGCAAAGCAGCAAAGGCAGAGACATCACTCACTCGTACGTGCCTTTCTCGGCACCCCCAGCTCTGCTCAGAAAAGCCCCAGAATTGTTCCTTTCAAGCTCTGTTGGAAAAGCCCAGCCCAGGCTGAGGCTTTGGCTGGGGGTGAGTGGGTGGACAGCGAAGAGAAGTGGAAGTGGCTGCTCAGTGACTTTCCTGGCGCTGTTTGAACGCCTCCAAGACGTCACTGGGCCAGCCCCTGGGGGAAAAACGAGCGCTCAGCTCCCGCCGGGGCACAGCCTGGCCCCGCGCTCGCCCCGCAGCCCCGGAGGATGCTGAGCCATGGTCCCCTCTGCCACCGCCCTGGCGCTGTGCCTGGCACTGCTCCTTGCCTGCCCCACGCACGGTGAGTCTCTCCTGCCGGCGTTCACCTCCCTGCTGGCCGGGGTGGGCTCCTTGGGGTGGGGGATAAGCTGGGAGCCACAGCCTGGACACTTTGCTGGGTGCTCAGCCCTCAGATCAGCATTTTGGAGCAGGTTATGTCCAGGGCTCCCCGCTCACCGCTTGCCTTTCACTGCTGGCTGGGAGCCCAAAGGGGCACCAGCCTCGCTTGTCCCCACCGGTGTCACCGTGAGGGGCCACGGCCACTGGGGACACAGTGCTGGGCTGGGGGGCTGCCAGCAGGCAGCAGCTGCCGGGGACCCCTGCAAGGGAGAGGTGGCAGATGTTATCAGCGGGGCTTTTCTGCCAGGTGACAACACAGAGATGTGGCAGGAGGTGTGAAAAAGTCTGGTTTCACCCAGGCAGCAGATGAGCAAAACAGGAAAGCCGAGTCCAAACAGAGCTGGCGGTGAACGGCAGGGGCTGGGGGATGCAAATACAGCTCCTTCCTGGGGCTGAAAACACCAAGCCCCATCTGGGCTGTCCCAAAAAAAGAAAGAGGAAGACGAGAGGGCTGAGTAAATCCTGGAAGCTGGATAGAGAAGTCTGGGTGAACGCTTGCACGCTTTGGGTGATGAGTGCTGTTACGTCACCCAGCACCCGCCACCCACGAGCGGGTGACGCTCAGGAGGCTGTCCCCGTGGGGCTGGGGTGGGACAGGGCTGTGCAGCCCCACTGAGCTCGGTGTGCCCGCAGGTGAGGAGCTGCCGAGCCCCCGGGCCGTGCGCTTCGCCGCGCGGACGGGCTGGCACCTGCTGCGGTGGGAGCCGGGGCACGGCTGCCCCAGCGACGCCCGCTACGAGGTGGAGTACATCGTGTGAGTAACAGCGAGGGGCAACGCGGGCTCCCGCCCTGCCCGGGCTCTGCTCCAGCTCCCTGCTCACCCCTGCCGCTTCTCCCCACAGCTATGGCGCGGGAACCCCCTGGACAGCCGTCCCAGGGTGCAGGAACACCTCGGAGCACTCCTGCGACCTCACCCGCTACACCCCGGACCCGGAGCGGCGCTACCACGCGCGGGTCAGGGCCGTGGCTGGGAACCACACGTCCTCCTGGCAAAGGACCCACGGATTCTTCCCACAGCAAGGTGGGCTGGGGCCTGCTCCACCCTGGGCTGGAGCTGGTGGGATCAGGGTGCCGGGAAAGAACCGTGGGATGAACGGGAGCTGGGATATTTCCTCCCACACCTTCCTGGAGGGCCAAGAAAGAACCGTGGGATGAATGAGAGCTGGGATATTTCCTCCCACACCTTGCTGGGACAGCCCCAGGATGGGTGGGACGGTCACAGCTCAGTCTGGGGCTGCAGGGCTGAGAGCTGTGAACAGGAACCGGCCCTGACCTGCTGTTGTGGCTGTTTTTTTGCTTCCAGCTGGCGTGCACCTGGTGGGCCAGAGCCTCTCCGTGATGGGCAACTCCATCCAGGTGCGGCTGCTCCTCCACGCCGGGAACACCAGCCTGGAGCACAGCGACTTCCAGAAGGAAATGACTCGGTACCACGTGTACATCAGGAGGACACGGGACAACCACACGGTGAGACGAGCTGAGCTGCTGCTCCCATGTTGTTCCCGTGCTGTCCCACGCGGTGCTGCTCAAGTGGAGAAACAGATTGTTAAAGCATGGTCCTCTGTAGGAGTAGGTGCTGGGCTTTCTCACAGCTACAGCAGCACCGAGAGGCTTCTCGGCATGGTCTTTGGCAGACTTTTGCAGCTCTTGTAGATTTTGGATCCAGCTGCTGTCATCGTTGTCACAGCACAGCCTGGGGAGTTTTGCCAGGGGATGGCAGAGGAGGAGGAGGGAGGGAAGCAGGAGCGCTCGGGTGCGAGCCTGTGCTGTCCCTTGCAGGTCACCATGGTGAAGAACAGCACCGAGTTCACCCTCAGGGAGCTGTTCTGGGTGACAGAGTACTGCCTGAGCGTGGAGCCCAGCATGGCCCACAGGCCCGTCCCCGCCAGGCGCAGTGGCGAGCAGTGCATCACCACCGGCCACAGGGACAGTAAGTGGGACCAGGGCAGGGGGCACCACGGCATGCAGACCCCCCCCCAGCCTCCCGGCCCTGCGAGGGTGGAGGTCCATGCCAGGGCAGCCTCTCGGTGCGCTGTGCATGGAGGAATCCCCCTCTCCCCCTCACCTGGTCACGTCCTCTCGAGCAGGGAGCGCAGAGCTTCTCCCGGACATCCTCAGCTCCTCCTTCATCATCCTCTCCTTGCTGGGCCTCCTGGGGGCTCTGCTGGCGTGCACCTACATAAGGAAACCTGTGAGGACTCCGTCCGCTCTGGTAAGGCAGGGACAGCGCCTTTGGGGCCAGAGCAAGGGTGCAGGCTTGGGGAGAGCTGCGAGAGGCAGGCACCAACCAGGGAGGAAGCACAGCTTCCTCTTTCTCTACTCTTCCCTCTTTCTCTCCCCGCAGAAATCCTTCATGAAGCAGAGCTCGCTCTGGTTGGAGCACGAGCCCCCATCCTCGGGCAGCCTGGATGCAGACCCCATCCAGCAGCTCTTCCTGTGCCAGAAGGAGCCCCAGCTGGGCGGCAGCCCTGGCAGCAGCACCAGCACGGCCCAGCTGCCCCTGGAGCAGGGCTGGATGCTCCCAGCATGGCCCAAGGACCAGCTGGGCCCCGTGGGGAGCAGAGACAGCAGCAGCACCAGCACCGACAGTGGCATCTGCCTGCACGTCCCCTCCTCTTCCTCTTCTTCCTCCTCCTCCTCCCTGAGCTGCTCCACGGGCCCCGAGCCCCAGGGCTACAGGCAGCAGCTGCCCACGGCCGAGGACAGCGGGGCGGGCTTGGAGAGCCCCTGCCCTGCTCCGGGGAACGCCAGCCCAGGGCAGCCCGGGCTGTGCCCTGCCACCGGCCAGGCAGACGTGGAGTTCCGGGGGTACCTGCAGCAGTCCAAGGGCACCGTGGAGCCACAGAGGGCCCCAGGCAAGGCAGAGCCCCTCTCGGGCCGTGCAGGGTCCGTGCAGGGCCTGGGCAGCACCGACACCGTGCTGGACATGGAGTGCTCCGAGCTGGCTGTGTCCAAAGGGTATTTGAAGCAGTCCTCCCCTGAGCATCCCCTGACACAGGACCTTGCTGCGTGGGGAGCTCCTTCCTGTGACTTCTCCAGCCAGGTGGGGCTCCAAGGCTCCACTCTGCTGAGCTGGGCAGCCCCAGGTGCTCCACTGACCCCCAAAGCCAGCCCTGATCTGAAAACTCCCTTCGACCTGAACATCTTCAACAACGCTGCCTTCCCAGGCACTCTGCTGCTCGTGCCCAGCCTCAGCTCCAGCTGGATCACAGCCCTGGGCCAGCTCAGCGGGGACAGCAAGGACAGCCACCTGTGACCCATCCCTGGGGCCACCAGCCCTGGGGACAGCAAGGACAGCCGCCTGTGACCCATCCCCTGGGGCCACCAGCCCTGGGGACAGCAAGGACAGCC